CTTCTGAAGCTTCCGATATTTTGAGTGGTGGACCACCACCTGTCTTTGCTATAATTTTTCGTTGCTGTATATCTCGGCTTTTAGTTCTGAAAGAAACATAACAAAATAAATACTGTATACAGTACAAAAATAAATAATTATAGCAACAGCATAGGCTTTTATCATGCTTTCCAGGCACCTAATGTAAAGCACACCAAATCTGCAGAATAATACCTGTTTCATATAGAGTTATATGCTGTATAGCTTCGTTCTATGACAATGGCCACCCATTGTCAGTGAATAAAACATGTCAATAAAGTATTAATTCTTAGTGTCCCATGTTGTCTTCAATTTATTAACTGGCAATTAAAGATGACAAACAAGAGAACCTAACACAGTATGGCTGAAGCACCTTTTTACTGGTGTATCCTCCATACCAGTTCCTTCATTATGAATTTAATTTGTGTTTCAGATATCATACACAATTTTAACCTAGCACTCATAGGAGTAAAAATAAATCAATGGCTAACACTTGCACATATAAAATATATGGTCAATACTACTCAGACACCGCATGGAATAGCATATAGGCATACATAACTTATAAAGGTAGACATAAAAACACTTATTTTGATATATAACTGAACGTGATCATAAAATTATATGAAGGAAGGGAAAATGGGGAGGTGAGATGGGAGCTTTCCTTCTGTCTACTTAAATACTGTAATCCTAATCAATTTAGTAACCTACTGGCAAAAAAACATATGTTTTAAATACTTAACTTAGAAATAAACATATACTTACTTCCGTTTTATGTGCTCGTAACTTCTCTTGAGCTGCTTGGCTGAGCGAGGGATTTGGTCTGGGTAGCTGGCGTTGAATGAAGCAGTAATTTCATCCCAGGCCTTTCTTTTCCTATAATTTATGGTGTTGCTTGTAGACCTGTCCTCAATGATTGGCCTTTGCTCAATATGGCGCAAAAGTGCCATACGTTGGGTTTCAGACAGAGCTGCAGAAGGTTCTCTTACTACCTCCATGTTTGATAACCCGCGCGCAAACATTGTTGCCAAGTACTCAGATGAAAAAATTATCTATTTTGTTTCGAACAGATAATAAAGTTCAATTTTATAAAAAAATATATTTTACAATATATTATTGTGCCGGTATAAAATAACAACTAAATATCTCTCAAAATCGTCTTTCTAATTATGTGAAATAATACATTTGGCACATGCGCATGGCCCAAAAAAATTTTGCCATCCGACACGAGCTGCCGTGTTTACACGCTCATGTAAGGGCCTAGGAATATGGCACTCAGCGTTGGGTGGTTGCATCCCGACACACGATCATCAAGATGATGATCGTGATCGTCATTATCGTCGTAATGACTAGGAATACGGCCCCTAGTCCTATAGTATATTACATAATCACTTCAAATAACTTTACACATATTATGAGTAGCTAATGAATTCACAGTAATAACACTAAAATAAATCATACTATGTATTAGTTTCATCTTCAGTGTTCACTATTCAGTACCTCATGACTAAGTATGGCGAAATTTCAGTCATGCACCGGTCTTTCTCTCGCTGTTATTAATAAATTCTTCGCAATGTTTAGACAATTCTAAGACCTCTTTTCTTCTATGATATTTCCGCTGGAAATTAAGGAGAACCAAGATATTAATTTTTCAGTATTATTAGATTTGGTCAGTCACAAGTGTCGCCATCTGTTGTTTACGTCTCACAGAGAAGGTCTGACCACCCATCACGCAGTGTTCCTTACCTCCGTGTTGGCTTCTTGATCGTCTACAGCACATGTGTGTGTGGGGTGTTCTTATTAGCTATAGCGATAGGAGACTTATAAATGGGCAAGTGTTTTTTGTCTTAGCCAATGAACAATGCATGGGTGAGTCGGGAGCGGAGCCTGCCGAAATTTGATTTTTCAGTACCAGAATAACCAGATATGGCTGAACAAGTGGAAAGAGCTGTACCATTATGGTTTGGTTTTGGTATTGTTGGTTGGAATTTTATTGTGTGATTTACTCGAAAAAAAAATAAATTTTCGCTAGGATTGATGGGTGATGGGAGGGGGGGTATCTAAAAAGCTTTTGATTTCCAGCTGAAATAAATATCAAATTCGTTCGAAACTCAATGTATACAGCCTTAACAACATCAACCTAGAGAAGTCGACTTGCATAGGCCTAGAAAACGCACTGTTAATGTTCGAAATAAGGCAAACAGAGTATTAGGTTTTATATCTAGAAGTGCAAGTAATAAGAGTGCGGAGGTCATATTGCAACTATATCTTGCGTTAGTCAGGCCGCACTTCGATTATGATGCTCAGTTCTGGTGCCCTTATTATAGAATGGATATCAATTCACTGGAGTCGGTGCAGCAAAGAATGACGAAAATGATTCCGGGACTTAGAAACCTTCCATATCAAGATAGATTAAAGAAACTAAACTTGCATTCCCTAGAAAGACGAAGAGTGCGGGGAGATATGATAGTGGAATTTAAGTGAGTGAAAGGAATCAATAAAGGAGATATAGATAAAGTTCATATAATACCCGAGCAGGATAGGACTCGTAGCAACGGATTTAAGTTGGATAAGTTTAGGTTTAAGAGGGAGATAGGAAGGAACTGGTGTACAAATAGGGTGGTGGACGAGTGGAACAAGCTTAGCAACTTTGTAGTAAGTGCTAAAATGCTGCAAAGTCTTAACAGGAGGCTAGATAGATTCATGGATGATAGAGAGTGGTAGTAACTTTCGACAGGAGCTGTCATGCACAGTCCAACCGACCTATTGCAGATTCCTTATTTTCTTATGTTCTTATGAAAAACATATTTTTAATATCCAAACAAAGACTGGTGCATAAATGAAATTTGACCCTAATTATTTACTGTTTTGAATTAGTATTATCTTTAAGAATTATCACAAAAACATCGTGACATGATTGAAAAGTATCTTGTTTAAAAAACTGGGTGTCAACACTGTGTATCTCTTAATATTTCACTTGTATAAAATATTATTACCCTTATATATCTCTCACTGATTAATATACACAAAAATACCAGTGAGATTACCAACTCTTGGGGTATTAACACAAAATTAAGGAAAACTTTAAGAGGGAGATACAACTACTGTACATGTTGCCTCTGTAAGATAAGATATACGATGGCGACATGCAGCTCTCTCACTCAATGGGAGGTTGGTGTTTGAAACCTGATAGCAACTCTACTTCGCTAACAATTATAATTTACACTGTTCCAGTTCACTTATATTAATTATTTCCCTACAATATATCACCTAATAATTTTATACAACTTATTTCAATGTTTATAACTCTGAATAAATTCTTCTTAGCTATGTTACAATAATGACTCAGGCATTCAAACATATAGGTCAACATGACGGGGCCTGACTAATCCCCGTCCACTAACTACTAAACACAAAATTTCCACAAAACTTTCCCTCAGCTTAAGACTTAATACATATTTGCAAATGTTCTTCAATCATCAGACTTTCTCCTACATTACATTAAATAAACTAACAATCAGTGATAACTTCTCCATTTGAGAATTTAACTGAACATTGGTTTACCAGCTGACTTCCATGCTCTTTCTTTTCAGAGGAATAACAAAAAAATTATGTTACACAGCAAGAATTATTTATTAGAACAATAGAAATTCAGTTTGGTAAAGCCTTACGAAAGCGCTACCACCAGAAGGAAAAATGCGATTTTGTTTAAAAATTTTATACGCATTAGTAGCATGATATTAAGCACAGAAATGGAAACGACAATGCATAAAGCCGACTAGAACCTGGTAGAACCTGAACTAACAAACCCAACCTATTAGGTCAGGTTCTATTAGGTTCTATGCATTATCGTGTTCATTTATGTGTTTAATATTATACAAATAGTGTGTACAAAATAGCCAAACCAACGAAAATAAGCAAAAGAACCAAAGAAACCCTACCTAACGATTGTCGAACGTAAGCAAATGAACCAAGGAAACCCTACCTAACGATTGTCACGAGACGCTGTAAAAAACTATAGATGATAAAAAAAGAACAGAGAATGTATTTAATAAGTAAATAAAAAGAAGGAGAACGCGCATGTGTGCCGTAGTTGTCAACAAAGGCCGTAAGAGACTGCTCCTTTAGAGTCGTATTTCTGACGAATTCAGCGAGTCTACTAATCCCAGTCTGTGCAGAGAACTATAGCAAGGCCCAGTTATCAGCCCAGTGGCATCTATTTTTTTTTAAGTTTTGGACTTTGTCATTTTTGGGGGATGAAAACGTCTGGTCCTACCACCAGTCCTTCTGGTCGAAGTTTTTCATGTTTGCGCATGCGCAATGTGAAGTGCGACGTAGCAGTGACGTCTTTACCACTCCACCTGACTGCAGTGTTGCCAACGTGCCCTATGCCCGCCGTTAACCGCTCCCGTTCGTTAGAGACGACGGCAGTAGGTGACAGTGATGCTGACGACTTTCATCTTGAAGACAAATCTAAGAAGCAGAAACCTCAAAAGTCAGGGTCTCCAGCAGGGGCTACGGCTCCCTCTCGCACCCCGTCTGGGGCTGTAGAGGGTGGCCTCCTTCTGCCCTCGGGGTCCCCAAGTGAGCTCACATGTGGCTCAATAATGACCGACCCTCTGCCGACGATGGACATAGTAGATTCCCTTAGTCTCCCTGCCCCGTCGCGCCTTCGTCGTCTCGCATTTCCTCGGGACTTGCCTCTGAGCACACGGAAGACCTGGTTCTTCTGTCACTGCTCTCCACTTCAGGACTTAACACTTCGCCTCCGCCGAGGTCCTACAGCTGTAATAGTCACCACACAAATGGACGAGACGGTATGCTTACTCACTCAAGTGGGCTTTCCTGCTCCCCAGGGGGAGGTGATGCTGAGCTTCACCACCATAACTCCAGAAACTCGTCGTACTAAGGTAATGGTTCGCCACGTACCCTGGGAGATCCCTATCGACGATCTTCGCCCTCTTCTCCCACAACTAATCGACATGGAGCGCCGCATCAACCCGTTCTCTAAACGTTCATCCAACGAACTCATCGGCTGGTGGGTGAGCCCCCTCCCTCTGAAGGTGATTGTAGGACCTATTCACAACTGTCCTCTCGACTGATTTATCGGAACCCCGAAAATCTGTGGTCGTTGCCAATCGTGGAAACACCGCACCTGGGAGTGCACGAGGGTGGTCTCCTGCGGTTTCTGTGCAGGATCCTCACGATACAGTGGAATTCAAATCGAAAATTCAGAACAAAATCCCAGTAATTCCACGGTGTGTCAACTGCCATGGCAGTCACCACGCCTGGAATGCCAATTGCCCACAGCGTCCTGGCACTCGCCTATGGAAAACTTACCTTGTACCACCGCCCTTTCTCTGACGAAGCCCCTGTCAACCAAACATCACTCCTATCCACCACCGCCTCTTCCATCCACCAAGGATTTCCCATTGATCTCCTCCCTTCTACCATCCCCCCTATCACCCCTACCACCCATCTTTTCTCCCCTCCCTCTCTCTCCCTACCGTTCTTGGAACAAGGTCCTTGCTGGCCCTGCCACACAGTCACCACCACCTCCTGCCCACCTGGACCCCAGCTGTCTCTCACCAGCACCACCACCTCTTGCTCACCTGAGCCCTCACCGTCCTTTTCCGTCGCTACCACCACCACCTGCCCAGTCGGGCCCTCGGCAATCCTCTCCGCCACCTTCAGCTCCAGCACAGGTACACCAAGTTGGTTCTATGGAAACAATCACTCTCCGTCTGGATTGCCATTCCAAGCAAATCAACCTTCTCTCTGCCCAACTCGACTCGTTTGTGAAAACAATTGCGACATTGCAGAGGCAACACCAACTCATTCTGGACAGCCTTATCCAACAGGGACGCACTTTGCAAGCCCTGGTGACCCACCTCCTTCCTTCTCCCGAGATGGAGGATTCATCCCTCGCTCTCCCTCTCCTCCCTCTCCAATATCCTCAACAGAATTTGGTACCTCCTCCGGAGCCCTGTTTATCCCCACCGACTCATCTCATACCGGAGGCCGTTCCCTCCTCTTCTTACAATGGAACATCCATGGATTTAAACGTCGCCTGACAGACCTCGCCCAGTTTGTGCTCTCCCATCAAGTAGATGTCGTTCTACTTCAGGAAACCATCACAGACGATGTTACTCCACTCCGCCTCTCTGGCTATACTGTTTACACCCTGCCTCGGTGTCTCCCTTACTCTTGGTGACCGGACCCTTCGTGTAGTCAATGTTCATTTCAAGAGTGATTCTCTGGACCCCCAGGTTCTTCACGACCTCCATGATGGGGTTCCCACTATTGTTCTTGGCGACTTCAATGCCCGCCATCCAACTCTTACTCCGGATCATCCCACTCCATTTACCCTTAACTGATCACACCTCTCACAGTTTCTTAATGGGGATGATGATGTTCGCTTTCTTTGTCCTGACGATCCTACTCGCCTCCCCCATAGTTTCCTTGATGTTGGCTCACCATGTACAAGTCCTTTGTCCGTTCCTGTGTCGACTACGCCGCCCCTGCCCTCGTCAACATTAGTCGGAATGCTGTCAACTGTCTCGAAGTTATACAGAGGAAAGCTGCTCGTATCATCCTTGGGGCTCCTCAGTGGACACGCTCTACTTCTTTATATACCGAACTTGGTCTTTCCCCCTTACAGGATCGTGTCCAGGAGTTTTACCTAAAACCTACCGTTTCCATTCTACGGGATCCTCGGAGCAACTATGTCCAAGCCAACTTGACTCCTGCTGTCCGAGGCCGCCCTCCATCTAGAAGACAGTGGCGAGAGTCACTTATCTGAGCCATTCAGGAATACGACCTCCTGCCTGATATTGTTGTCACCCCTGCTGTTGGTTCGTCTCATTCTCCCTGGCTGGATTTTCAACCTGAAGTTATTGCCCTCGGTGGACCGCTCCCGAAATCCCACGTGAACCCTGTTATTCTCTGCAAATACCACCTCTCCAGGATCGCCCACTGGTCCCCAGGTAGGGTCTTCCTCTACACTGATGGCTCTGTTGACCCCGCTACAGGTCGGGCCGGGGCTGGTGTCTACATCTCCCGTCCTGATGCCCCTGAGCCTATCAAACTTTCTCTCAGAGTTTCTGATTGGGCATCCTTCACTCAGGCTGAACTGATAGACCTCCTTGCTGCACCTTCTCGCTGAGTAAGAAGCAGATGGTTTCTACCCCTTGCTTGTCTGCTGCGATTCCAGGTCTGCTCTCGACGGGAAAGCATTTGGATCAGGGGAAAATAAGGACCTCATCCTCCGAATACGAGGGTTAACATCCACACTTCAGGATGCAGGCCGTCCTGTGACATTCCTATGGATACCCAGTCATGTTGGTATCTTGGGGAATGAGGCAGCAGGTGGCCTTCCCAAGACTGACTGTAATAAGGCCACACCTGACTACGTTATTCCTCGAACACTTTTACAGCTTAGGACCCAAATTCGCCGCAAACAGAGAGAAACTCGGGAAGCAGTCTTCCCCCCTGGACTCCCCGCCCACCTGGTACGATGTTCTCCGTAAACTTCCTGACCTCTCGTATGTCTATGGGAAAGGGTCGTGGAAAAGGGACGTGATTGCTGCCCGTATCATCATTGGGTATGACTTTGCTTGGGAGATTCGTATCCCCGTATCCCCTAAGCAACGCTCTTGTGCATTATGCAGAAGACCCGACAGCCGCACCCTTATCCACTACCTCCTAAGATGTCCCCACACACAACACTTCCGTGACGCCTGCTGGACCACCCCTCCACGACCCCCTGACGGACACACGATGATCCTCCCCATACTGGCCAGATATTATGTAAATAACATTGATAATGTGCTAAAGGAATATCCTTCCTTCCTAAGGCTTTAGTAAGCCCCTTTATAATATTTATATATACTTGTGACACTTGCCAGATGCTTCTGGTGTTATTGTACACGGGTACCTAGTGACAGCACAAGGATCCCACTTCCTCTATCAAGGAATAAACTATTGAAATTGAAAAAAAAAATTAACAAAAGAAGAGTAACCGGTATATACGTATTTCTAAACTTAATATAGATGAGGAATTATTTTATTAAAAGGATCAGAAGTAATGGAACACAATTTATACTGGTTTTAGAGGAAAAATGGCGGCGGCAGAAAGCGGACTGACTTACGGTAAGAAAATGATTTTGGCGTTTGAAATGCACCTAGAGACGTAATTTTAATGCCATAACATCAGTGTTCGCCGTGTTTTTACCCCGTAATTTCCCTCATCTTTGATGTCCTGCCCACTAACAAAGAATTTAAGATCGTAAGATAGAGTAATGGAAAAAATCCTAAAAAATGCATAAAATTATAATAGAAAGTTGTCGTTTTTTTAATATACTTAAAATCATCAACACAATAAGTATAGCAAAAATAAATAAAAACAACAAACAACTTCTGGTGGTAGCGCTTTCGTAAACCTTTACTTTCAGTTTTTGGTGTATATATTCATAAAATCAATTCAACATCATTAAAATACACACACACACACACACACACACACACACACACACACACACACACACACATAGACTTATCAGACAGAAACTATTGTGGCGACTCAGAAAGGCTTTCAAATCACAAGAATTTCCAATAACTTATGAATAAGGCGACTGTTACAATGTCTTCTGTCGACAACCTCTTGTGGTGATGAATATTGGAGAGAGAGAAAGAGAGAGAGAGAGAGAGAGAGAGAGAGAGAGAGAGAGAGAGAGACTACCTAAATTGGATACGTTTGCTTAGCACCAGTTGAGACAAAATTACACAGTTACCGCCCTAACTAATCTCTGTAGTTCTTAGCTCGGAGAAACTAAAAGAGAAGAAAAAAAAATATTGTTCAATAGAAATCAGTTAAACATATTGTTAAGGTTTGATAGTTTTGGTGACTGTGTCTTCTCGCCATGTCCTTGTCATCTTCATCATCATCATCATCATCATCTTCATCTATATGACTGCTTTCCATCACAAATGCGTCTATTTCTTCCCATATCGCCTCGCATTTAAGTTTACATTTAAGTTTACATCTCCCAGACACACAGTCATCACTCTCTAGGATGCCAGATGCACGTGCTTATAAATATCCACCCACAGCTGTGAAATTTATAATTTCTTACTGCTGGTGACATATGGCATCATGCATAGCTCGTAAGATATTTGAAACACAGCAGTAATCATCAGTCCATAGCTCCAATTTGCGTACGACTTTAGGCCCAAAGTGCACGAGGTATGTGGGCAGGACTGAAACGCTTACATAATGTTTACTGTCGAACTGCGTCAGTTAGGAGACAATATTATACTGTGACTCTACCTTAAATAGATTACTTTCACTTAGCACCAATTAGAAGATGAAATCAACCATGGAATATAACAATGGAACTATATACAATGCTGCTCTTCCTATCATCAACACACATACATCCACACATCACAGATCCCACGTTGGTTACACAGGAATGGTGAAATGTTGGTCTTCTTAGCACTACCCCGCCCCCTGTGGTTTATTCCGTACCTCTGTTTATCCTAGGTTATACACGCTTATCCTCGTATCATTAATATCACCAATATTATCAACCGTAATAAAAACAGTAGGTAAACCATTGCTATATAAACTTACCATTGAGGTTTCTAAAATAATTATTTAAATTATTATTTTATCTATACTAATGAGTTAGCATGGAGTATACACACACTCACACAAACATGCACACATATATATTAAATATGTATGTTTGGCCCATATCTTCAATGTACTAATGAGCAGAGAAAAGATATGTATACACATATGTACAGTAAATATATATACATAGGTATGTTTGGTCGTACTCAGCGATATATCCTGGTGATGAAGGTCCCAGTTGGGAGAGAGGGCGGGATGAACGATCACGGACGTAGAGGTTAATTTAGCAGATTAGTTAAATAAATCACATTATAGGGGCGAGTGGTCACACCCAGTCAATGGTAATGGTTCAATTCCTCTCCCTCTCAACCCTGGTATTTGCACTACCTCAAATGTTTTGGTACTTATGTATGTCTATGAATGTATTTGTATATAATAATAATAATAATAATAATAATAATAATAATAATAATAATAATAATAATAATAATAATAATAATAATAAAAATAATAATAATAATAATAATAATAATAATAATAATAATAATAATAATAATAATAATAATAATAATAAAAATAATAATAAAAAAGAATCCAAATTAATACAGTAAAATCAACAAAAATTAAAAAAAAAATATTCGGTAGATATGCAGTATAGAATATATTAAATATGGGGGGAGAGACTGAACATAAGCTTTTAGTATAAATTCGGCACGAAAAGGAAAACTAATAATTTACTTATTTATTTATTTTTTTTATTTTTATTTTTTTAACTTACGCACGATTTTCACAATAGTTTCAGTAGAGCTGTTTTTGCAGCGGAATGTGGACAAGGAACCTCAGGTGGCACAAGGTGGCGATAGCGAAAGTGGTGAAGCACCTTTATCCTAGACTGGCAGAGAAAGAGAGAGATTTTTTTTTTTTTTTTTTTTTTAAGTGGGGAATGGATGGAAGGCATGCTGGGGCTCAAGGAACAGCCAGACATGAGGGATAGAGAAGTCACAACATATAGTCGTGGGGGAGAAAGGTTGGAAAAGAAGTTTTATGAGTTAAACAGAGGGGGACGACACCCCTTGTTTTACATATTACAGAGTTTGTTGGCTTACTAAGCTAACCATGGATTTAGGATGAGGTTGCACGATGGTTATTTTGGTAGACAATGACTAGATTGATTTTACAATTACAAGTTTATTAAAATCTTACACTGTATTACGTTATGGACTCACTAGATTGTGACTTATTAAATGTGAACTTATATCATCTAAGTTTTAATCTAAGGTGGATCACTGTGGCGGACATAGATGGGTCGCGGGTTGGGTTGTTGTAGTGTGGGCAGACACCGTGGCCACCAGGCGTTGGGTCGCTCTCCGTTGATGTCTTCCCCGCGTAGGTGGTATGGGCTGTGAGGGTCGTCCAGGATCTTGTCTCAAACCTTCTTCCATAGGCGATGGAACCTGACGTTGAGGGCCTCTGTTTTATTTCTCAGGTGGATGATTTCTACTGTATCCAGGTAGGATGGCGCTTACATAAGAACATAAGAACATAAGAATGGAGGAAACTGCAGCCGGCCTATTGGCCCATACTGGGCAGTCCCGTTTACACCTAACCCCTATTGCTCATATGAGCATCCAACCTATGTTTGAAGCAATTCAGCGTATTCGAGTTAATGATGATATTTGGTAACTTATTCCATTCATCCACTACTCTGTTTCCAAACCAGTGTTTACCTATTTCACGCCTAAATATAAATTTGTCTAATTTAAAACCATTGTTACGAGTTCGCTCCTGGTTGGATAGTTTGAGTACCTTTGTAATGTCCCCTTTGTTTAGCCCTGCCTTCCAGTTATACACCTCTATCAGGTCGCCCCTCTCTCTAAGTCTCTCAAGGGAGTGCAAATTAAGATGCTTTAACCTGTCTCTATACTCAAGGTTCCTAATGCCCGGGATTAGTCTTGTCATTCTCCTCTGAATTCTTTCCAAGGATTCTATATCCATTCTGTAATACGGTGACCAGAACTGAACTGCGTAATCCAGGTGTTGTCTCACAAGAGCAAGATACAGTTTTAGGATGACCTCGCTAGTCTTGTAACTAACACTCCTTTGTATGAACCCAAGTACTTTATTAGCCTTGTTACGAGCAAAAACACATTGTTTACTTGGCTTAAGGTTCCTACTTATCATTACTCCTAAATCTCTCTCGTAGTCGGATTTCTCTATGGCATCGTTGTTCATCTGGTATCTGGTTTCCCTGTTTACATCTCCTATACTGAGTAATTTACATTTGTCGACGTTGAATTTCATCTGCCAGTTTTCAGACCATTCAAAAAATTTGTTTAGATCTTCCTGTAGTTTTGCCGAGTCCTCGTCAGATTTGATAACACGTCCTAGTTTACAGTAGTGTCATCAGCAAATTTACTTATGTTGCTGTCAATGCCGATATCTATGCCGTTTATGTATATAATAAATAATAATGGTCCAAGTACTGAGCCTTGGGGAACTCCACTTGTGACGTTGCTCCAATAGGACTTAGTGCCGTTAATGCTCACTCGCTGTTTCCTGTCCTGTAACCACGCCCTAATCCATTTAAGGATGTCACCTTTGATGCCATGAGCTTCTACCTTTCTAATTAGTCTTTCGTGGGGGACTCTGTCGAAGGCTTTGCTAAAGTCGAGATATACCACATCATAATTGTGCCCCTCGTCCACCGATTCGAAAACTGATGAAAAGAATGTTAATAGATTAGTTAGGCAAGAACGTCCGCTTGTGAAGCCATGCTGGGAATCATTGATCAATCGGTCCTCAGACACTTGTTTTGGAAGCGTTGTAGTTGTTGTAGTTTGGTCTTTCCGAGTGTGACCAGTAGTATATATGGGTATTACAACACACGCCTCACCAGCGCCTTGTACAGGTGGACTTGTATCTATCTTCTCAGGCATCAGTTTAAAACTTTTTAATTTGGCGGCGGCGAATTTGGCTTTCTCTAGTCCGAGCAACCTGTTTTGCTTAGAGTAGTCAATCTCTTCGTCGTCGATCATCAATGGCGCCGGCTTGAATTTGGCTATGGGTATGACCTCGAATTTCATTACCTCGTCGGCACATATGACGTACTCGCTGCCGACGATTGGGGGTGGCAGGTCAGCCGTGTAGAGCTTGCAAAGGGTTGGTGGAGACAAGAGTCCTGAGGCACGCTTCTCAGGAGTGAGAATTCTTCTCCACAATGTTCTTGCATCTTCATTTTGGCTCTGCGGTCCTTAATGAAGTTGCACGGCAGGCGCGTCAGGTTATCGAGTAGCCCCAGTTGTATGCTCTTATACTGCAGCCCCGAGTGCCAAACTTTGTCAAACGTCTTGCTGACGTCCCTCAGTAGTACGTTGCACTGCAGACCGCCAGTCATGACATTGGCGATTTGTTCGTAGGCCTGGGCTGTGGCGGTGGATGTGCCTCGGTACTGGCGGAAGTCGAACTGGCGGGATTATGCACGTCTTCGTCCTCCAGATACACCCGAAACGGCTTGTTTACTATTTTTCCGAGGATTTTGACAGGTACCTCTAGCAGCGATATTGGTCGAAAGTTTTCGACTTTGTTTGGAGGCTTCCCTGCTTTTGGTATGAGGCGAATAACGGCGATTTTGAACATCTTAGGGAAGTATCCGGAGGCGAGGCAGGCGTTGCATATATGAGCAAGTCTCTCTATTATGTTGTCGGGGAGTTGAGCCAGGATCTTCTTGTTAATGTGGCTTTGCCCAAGTGATTTGTTTTTATACCCTTTTATGACGGCTGACACATCTGCAGGAACTATGCGCTTCGTCAGGTAGCTTCCGTCCACCAGTCTAGTGAAGTCAGTCCGTGGGAGCGGGTGGAGCAGGTGCTGATGGTCTTGCAACTGACCTAAAATGTCCTCCTCAAACTCCCTGTTGAAGCCCTCGTTCTCCTGTTCACTAATGGTAAAGATCTTCCGTAAATATCGCCGATGTAATTGTTCTTGGTTTTCCTCCCCGAATAGTTTCACGTTGTTTTGGTCGAGCAGGTAAGGAACCGTGCTAGAGGTGGAACCCATCAGTCGCTTGATCCCTTTCCAGAATGCAGCAGAATCGCGGTAATTGTTGGCTGCCTCCCACACCAAGGCGGCCCACTTTTGTTCATGTAGACCAGGTGTGGCCAACCTGTCGATCGCATGGCAAAATTAAACTTAATGATCCCTCCTTCTTAAGCTGCCATACAAAAATCCTCTTCAAATTTTACTTATAATCATTGGGATATTATATTTGTTTAGATTTTTTTCTGGGAATAGATTATCATTATGGACACATCAGGGCAATACATACAAAAAAACTTCGACTGTGCCATGCTGTGTGTGATGGAACCTGATAGGAAGTGTTCGCGTTCATATAGGCCAGTGCTGTTTGGTTACTGGTGAGGAAACTGATGAGCAAGTTGTCATCAGTTGTAGGCTAAAACTAGGCAGGTATTTGCTTTTATAATTTTACAAATACACGTTAAGCCTTGTATTAATTAATTTGTTAATGAAAAAATCGACTCGATATTGAGGAGACTTGTCAAAAGTAAAGAGAGAGAGAGAATCATATTTGGCAACCTTGCCAGCGAGCGTACACACTTGTCACCAACAATGCAGTGATTTTCAGTCATCTGCAATACTTGGAAGTGTGAGGTGCTGCCTCTTGTTATGGAAAAGTCTTGGGTGATTACAAGAATTACTGACTTTTTAGCTTAGCGACAGTTCTCGCCAGTGTGGACAGAAGTGTCCACACTGGCCGATGACAATTGCTTATAAAAAAAAAAAGTAAAGAACGTTATGCTGTTATGTTAGTAATTCTCATATTCATGTAGAAAAAGTCATGGAAAAAAGTAATTCTCGTATTGACGTACGTCTTAATCTTTTCCAAATATAGGTTATTGGCCATCAACTGAACCAAAAATTAGTTCTGGAACAAGCAATAAAAATACCCAAATTTACCATTTTCACAATGAATGGGAAGAAGACTATTTTTTTACCATGAATAATTTGAAGTTTCTGTGCTTGATCTGCCATGCGTCTCCAGCTCTAGCTAAGAAAGAAAATCCTGAAAGGCATTTCAAAAGTTTTCACAAGAAGGATGATAATGATTTCCCACCCAAAAGTGAGCTACGAAAGAGGAAAGTTCATGAACTGAAATCACAGCTTACTGCACAACAAACTCTTTTTACAGGCGCGAGCTCAAAATCAAGGGAAGCAACCATTGCATCATTCAGGGTGAGTCGAGTACTTACAAAGCATAAAAAAAAAAAACATTTCAAGATGGAGAAATATTCAAAGAGGCCTTTTTAGAAGCAGCATATTCGTTGTTTGAAAATTTAAAAAATAAGTCTGAAATACTGTCTTCTATTAAGGATGTTCAGTTATCAAGAAACACTGTCATGAGGCGCTGTGAATTCATGGCTGAGGATTTGGGTGAACAACTGAATAAAGACATACATGAGTGCGTGTTCTTTTCATTACAATTTGATGAATCTACTGATGTGGTCGATACATCACAATTATGTATTTTCATTAGACTGGTGTTTAAAGACATGACTACCAAAGAGGAACTGCCGAAAATTCTACCATTCAAAGGAAAAACTCGGGATGAAGACTTATTTCAGACTTTCAATGATTTTGTTAATAGTACACAGTTGCCAGTAAGTAAACTCGTATCTAAAAATACTGATAGGGCACGTGCATTGGTTGGCCGAATCAGTGGGTTCATTGCCCTGTGCAGCAGTGATGATAGGTTCCTAATTTCTTTTTTGGCCTCAAAAGATTGGCCTTTTGATAACAACGAAGTGTGGCTGTTAGATTTAGATTTTTTAGTTGACATAACTGCTATGCTGAATATACTAAACTTAGATCTGCAAGGGAAAGATAAAACTATAGTTGACATGATTAGTCCTGTGGCTGCTTTTGAAGCAGAAACTAAAACTCGTGTCTTCGCAGTTGCATCAACATCAACTACGAAACTTCAGAAATATGATGTCTGAACTAGAAAACCAAGGAAAAGACTGTGACCAGTTTGACAGTGATCGATATATTGAACAGTTACAAAACCTTGCCTCATATTTTGACAGACGGTTTCAAGATATAGCAACCTGTTGCAAAATATGTGTCTTCCATTTGGTAAAATCACAAATGTTGAAGATATTGCATCTAGAATGGCATCAGTATTTAACATGGACATATCTGAAGTCGAAAATGAGCTTCTGAAGCTTAAAAATGATATTCAGATCAAATCCATGGTAACAGGAAGAAGTTTCTGGAACCTTCTCAGTGAAGAAAAATATCCCAATGTCAGAAAATGTGCAATGTACCTCACAGCATTTTTTGGATCAACCTACCTTTGTGAATCAACATTTTCACACATGAAGCACATCAAATCCAAATACCGATCAACAATGTCAGATGAACACCTGGATGCTGGCTTGAGGCTAGCAGTCACAGCCTACAGTCCTAATTACACAAAGCTGGCAGACAACATGCAGTACTAATAATCTCATTAGTAAAATAAATTTATGGTTTTGTCATGTTAACAATATATCATAGCAACTATTGAAAAATATTATTTGTTTACTCTCTACGAATCTGCGTATTTTATGGCAATGGGTGAATATTAGGCTGGTAGATCGCGTCAGGGTAACTGTGGAAAAAGTAGATCACATCACACAAAAAGTTGGCCACCCCTGATGGAGACGTTTGCTCTCGTGCTGGATGTCCGTCTCTAGCTCTCGGTACCGGTCTCTCAGCTCTTGCGTCCACCCTAGGATACTGGCTGCTGTCTCACGTGATCGTACTGGACACTGAGCTGCCTCAGCTGGTGACTAGTGTGAGGATGGGGAATGGTCCTGTGAGTGGTGGTCGGGATGTTGTTGTCCATCTCTGTCTTCATATCCGTGTACCATTGTTCGACCGCGTCGTCGACGTCATTGGGGCTGGTTTCTTCCAGGTTTCTTTCCTGCTTGAGACTGAGAGACTCCTTGAAGGAGTCCCAGTCTGCCCGTTTGAGGTTTGACCTGATGTTGGCGGGGATCATTATGGGATTGGATGAGAGCGTCACGACGACTGGCAGGTGATCGCTGGTACTGATGGGTCCGGCGGTAACTTGCCTGTTCAGGACGGCCTCGTTGTTAGAGAGGATTATGTCCGGTGTTGTGGCACTGGCACGTCTGATCAATGTCAGGAAATCTGGCCCAAGGTGTTGCAGTTTTCCCCTTCTGATGATGGCATACAGCACCACACCGACATTGTTCTCATTACCGTGTCCGAGTATGGCGTGGCGCGCAATAAAGTCCCCTATGATGTATGTTGGTTTTCTGTGGCGTAGCAACTGGTTGAGGTCTATTTCGGGTAAGTAAGGACGTCTGGGAGGTAGGTACATTGTGCATGTGATAACAGGTCCCCTAGTTGTCTCCACCTGTACTCCCGGAACTGAATCCTCGAAGTCTGGCAACACTCCGTGACTCAGCCGTGACCTGATGGCCACAGCGACACCATCGTTCAGCTCACCCGTCATGTTCCTCTGGTATACAGTGTAGCCAAAAATTTTCAGCTTACTTTCGTCCTTTATGCCAGTACTGTTTAACAGAATAATGTCCGGGTCTAATTGATAGTATGAGTTAGACTGTTCGTTACGTCTATTAAGGGACCAGTATAGGACATTATGTTGGACAATTTTCATCCTGCTAACGACTGCCGTTTCGGAGACTGTAGCTTGGGGCGTCGCTTGAAGTGTTTGCTCGGCTTCTGCCATTTCTAGGGGGAAGGAACTTCTTAGCAGAACCTTCGGACACCTGCTTGTCAGTTAATGGCGGGCCCTCGAACTTCTCGTCACCCGTGTACAGGAAGGTGTTCAGGTCCTGGGCCTGCGTGTCGAAGTAATCTGCTGACGCTGCAGCTCGAGGGTCTTGTTCCTCTGTGGAATAAGTCGCCATCATCTGGTTGCAACCATTGACTGTGGTTGCAGTTCGATGGTCACTGTCGTCGCTGGGATTACATGTATTGGGGTCACGGAGATTTACGGTGTCGTTGGAGCTGTGATCCCAGGGGGACTGACTGGCCACGTCAAGGCTACGGTTATACTGACTTTTGCCTAAGTCAGGGAGGTCATGGTCTATTTCTGGAGTGGGTTGAGGTCGTCGATAAGTCGTTGAGTGGGTTATTGCCTTCAGGATTTCTTTTGAAGGGACTTTGTAGCTTATTTCAACAGGTGCAATGTTGTTCCTGGTTAGTGTCTCGTTGAGGTGTTTCGAGAATGATCCTGGATGAACCATGTTCGTGTGATGGGCATGCAGGCAAGACAAGTATTTAGTTGTGGCTTTTGACTCATCCAGCTGTGGAGAGGAAACGCTCCTGATGCTTTCCGCCACTGCGTCCCTCATGGCGCCCAGTGATTCAGTAACTGCCTGTTTTATTGAGTCCTTCATGGTTTTATCTCTGATTACAGGACTTCCATGGTCTCGCTGACATTGTTGAGTTTTTGGGAGTCTGCTTGAGTTTCTTTCAGAGCGTCTTTTAGGGTTTGGCTGTAAGCCATGATCGTCGACTGAGTGGTCCTTTCTATGGTGTTAGAAATTTCCTTGGTTTCTTTTCGTTTGGTTATTTCGGTCAGTTTCTTCTCTGTTTCTTGAGTTACCTGTTTCCTGACCAGGCAGGTGGCAGAGAAGGTCCTGTGGCCACCCTCGCAGACGACACACTTTTTTATGGGGCTATGGTAGTCTTTGTAGAAGTGCTGATCAGTTGAACACTCAGCGCACATGACCCCTTGCAGGGGGAAGTTCTTGGTCATGTGGTCATTGTACTTATAGTACTTCATACATTGTTGGATGGGCGTATACTTTTCATATTCTATTTGGTGTGATGAGATGGAAGTGCCATATGCATAGAGCCCCTTCTCCTTCATTCTTTTTGCATATGTTGTGTCTGCAAAGCGAACCTTGATTATATTATGGGCATACATAGGATACGCCTCCAACACCTTGACATTGTTTTGCTTTTCTATTTCATCTCTTATTTCTTCTGCGTTATTTTCCACTACATCTTTGTCTAACTTCTTACATGCAAGGGTGAGCTTGGCGCCGTATTCCCGTGGGACAATGACCTCGTAGCCGTTAGTTTTCATTTTGTTCGTGGCACTAGACTTAAGTAGTTTATCAGCATCTTCATCTGTTTCTGTGAGGATGATGTAACCATCTCTCAGATTCACAAGTCTATTTATTCTCACCCTTAGGTCGCTCAATAGCCTTTTTAGCCCTCTCCGAGACCCCTGGGTCGGGGTTCCGGAGATCTTCACTCTCACTTAGGCCATGGTCAGTAACATACATGAAAATCCTACGTAATCTGTCCACATCAGCTAAACCCCAGGGATACCGCTCCTTCTGTCCACTTGCTAGGCGAGTAAAGACGGGTCTAGGGGTAGGGTTAACAGACAATCCCCTGACGGGGGCCTAGCCAAGCCCTAACACCTAACAGTGACAGGTTATGAAGCACTGCTGAATCCCTAACAGAAAATGTTGCCACCCTTACTGTCTCGACTCGGCAGCCCCCCTTGTGGCTCTGCCCGCAGGGTTCGCATCGTTACCAAACAGCAGGGACTCTAGGCGAAAGGATAGGATAGGGAAGAAGCGCAGTGTACAAGAATAATAATATCCATGTACAACTACAAGATAAATAGCCTGAGCGAACCCAACGTGAAAAACAAGGCCAATAGATGTAACGGTCAGCAATTTGAACTGAGCAGGGAGCGACGCGCAGCACGTCCGCTCGCTATGAAGGTTGGTTGCACTCTGTGAGAGAGAGGTTAAGAGAGCCAGTGTATTGGAGTGACTGTTGAGAGTTAGGGTTAGGAGGATAGAAGATAAACTTGAATGCCGTCTTCTGCATGTCCTCTTCTGCACGTCCTCTTCTGCACTTCGTCTTCTGCACGACCTCTTCTGTTCTTCCTCTTCTGCACTTCGTCTTCTGCAAGTCGTCTTCTGCACGTCATTTTATGCACGTCATCTTCTGCACCTCGCCTTCTGCACGTCGTCTTCTGCAAGTCGTCTTCTGCACGTCCTCTTATGCACGTTGTCTTCTGCACCTCGTCTTCTGCACGTCGTCTTCTGCACATCTTCTTCAGCACGTCCTCTTCTGCACGTCGTCTTCTGCACGTAATCTTCTGCACGTCCTCTTTTCACGTTGTATTCTGCACGTCGTTTTCTGCACGTCCTCTTCTGCTCTTCCTCTTCTGCAAGTCGTCTTCTATACGTCGTCATCTGCACGTTGCCTTTACACGTCGTCTTCTGCACGTCGTCTTCTGCACGTCTTCTTCTGCTCTTCCTCTTCCAAGTCGTCTTCCGCACGTCGTCTTCTGTACATCCTCTTCTGCACGTCGTCTTCTACACGTCGTCTTCTGCATCTCTTCTACTCTTCCTCGTCTGCACGTCTTCTTCTCCACGTGCTCTTTCTCCACGTCGTCTTCTGCATGTCGTCTTCTGCACGTCGTCTTCTGCACGTCGTTTTTTGCACATCGTCTTCTGCACGTCCTCTTCTGCACATCCTCTTCTGCACTTCGTCTTCTGCACGTCCTCTTCTGTTCTTCCTCTTCTGCACTTCGCCTTCTGCAAGTCGTCTTCTGCACGTCCTCTTATGCACGTCATCTTCTGCACCTCGCCTTCTGCACGTCGTCTTCTACACGTCGTCTTCTGCACGTCTTCTTCTGCTCTTCCTCTTCTGCACATCGTCTTCTGCATGTCGTCTTCTGCACGTTGTATTCTGCACGTCGTTTTCTGCACGTCCTCTTTTGATCTTCCTCTTCTGCACGTCGTCTTCTGCACGTCTTCTTCTGCTCTTCCTCTTCTGCACGTCGTCTTCTGCACGTCGTCTTTTGCACATCGTCTTCTGCACGTCCTCTTCTGCACGTCGTCTTCTGTTCTTCCTCTTCTGCATGTCGTCTTCTGCACGTCCTCTTCTGTACGTCCTCTTCTGCTCTTTGTCTTCTACACGTCCTCCTATGCACATCATCTTCTGCACGTCCTCTTCTGATTGTTCTCTTCTGCACGTCGTCTTATGCACGTCGTCTTCTGCCCGTCCTCATCTGCACATCGTCTTCTGCACGTCCTCTTCTGCTCTACCTCTTCTGCAAGTCGTCTTCTCACGTCTTCTGCTTTTCCTCTTTTGCACGTCCTCGACTGCACGTCCTCATTTGTGCGTCCTCAACTGCACATCCTCCTCTGCATGTCCTCGACTGCTCGTCCTCTTCTGCACGTCCTCTTCCGATCTTACTCTTCTACACGTCGTCTTCTGCACGTCCTCTTTACACCTCCTCTTTTGATCTTCCTCTTCTACACGTCGTCTTCTGCACGTCCTCTTCTACACGTCCTCTTCTGCACATAATTTTCTACACGGCGTCTTCTACATGTCGTCTTCTGCACGTCCTCTTTTGATCTTCCTCCTCTACACGTCGTCTTCTGCACGTCATCTTCTACACGTCCTCTTCTGCACGTCATCTTCTACA